CCTGGAGCTGGCTGTTTGTTTTATTCAACCGAATGACTGCCCTTCGAAGTATCGGGCCAAGCTGAGGCCACTTTGGGGGAGCTCTCCTCTCAAGCGTATACCATCAGAAAGTGAAGAAGTACCAAAAAACTCAAAGAAAAAGAAACCCAACTATGGTCTCATCCAATGCAGAGGTGGAAGCCAGGAACGGGATGCCACTGTCTGCGAGTGAACTCTGTGCCCCCTTTCCAGAAGGCTTTCTTCATATCCATCTTCAGGCAGACAAATAAATATGCAGGTCAAAGAGGGGAGCTCCACCTAATAAGCTCGACCCCCAGTCTGTGGACTCAGGATGTCTACTTCTCTCCTACAGCTCTGGCAACAAACGCTAACAAAATCAGAAGAGATGAAGGGGAGGGTCCAAGAAAACAAACTAAACCAGAGAAAGCCCTTTCATGGGGGTAGTGCCAGATAGCCAGAGTGTACCTCCTCGGTTTGGCCCACTTATCATTTTGACTAGTGGCCGAAATCAAATGTTAGAATTAGTTTGGTATTTAAAGGCCAGTGTGTTAGGGTGGAAAGAGCTCCAGAAGAGAAGCTAAGAGACATGGGTTCTAATTCTAGCTCTGTCACTTACTAGCTTTGTGATCTTGGGCAAGTCCTTTCCTCCTTTGAGGCCTCAGTTTTCCCATGTCAAGTGAGAGAATTGAATTAGATCAGGGGTGCTTTACCTGAGGTCCATGAACTTTTAAAAAAAATATTTTCTTAATTGTATTTCAATATGATTAATTTCCTTTGTAATCCTATGTATTTTATTTTATGCATTTAAAAAAACTATTCCAAAAAGGAGTCCATAGCTTCATCAGCCTGCCACAGGAGGCTGGTAACTCCCCCAAAGGGTTAAAAATCCCGGGCTTAGATGATTTCTAAGGTTCCTTCTAGACCTTATAGGACAATTGGATTTTTTTTCTCTCCCTTTTACTCATTTTTTTAATATGAAATGGGTGAGTCTAATAGGATGCCTTCTATTACTTAATTTTTTTAAGACTGGGTTTCTCTATCTTGCCCACATTGGAAGTTCAGAGGCTGACCATCCCATTACTGAGCAGCATGGGAGCTTTGACCTGCTCTGGTCTCTGATTCTGGACAGTTTGCCTTCTCCCTCTTTAGGCAATTCCGTGATCTCCTTCCTCTGCCTCCCCCAGCTCCCAGAGGTTCACCATATTGATACTGCTCTTAGTGAGGACATTGCTACTGTAGCTCAGAATTCCCAAACTCAAGAGATCTGTCAGCCTCAGCCTCCCTGGAAGCAGTCATTCTAGGCATGCACTACCATGCTCACTGCCTGGAGTTGGTCTTTTAAAGAAGTCTGATCTTGGCAAAATTTCAGTGTGAGTGGAGTTTGCCTTTTGTATCCATCTCATTACAAGGGCCATGTTTTCCACACCCTGAATCAGTAATAATAATGATGATGATGATGATAATGATGATGAGAGAGTCTAGACCTGTGATTTCATTGGTATAGGGAACTCCCAGATAAAGGGATTCCCTCTTCAAGTGCAGGTGCAACTTGAGAGTCTTAATTAAGGAGAACCAGCCCCTGTCCTTCAAAACCTCATGGTCCAAGTGGGGAAATAACTAACATGTATCAAACAGCCACGTTCTCTAATAAAAGTAGAATGCCAGATTGGGACACTCAGATCAGGAAATTGAGAGGATGAGTGACTTGCTCAGGGTCACACAGCCAGGATGTGTCAGAGGTGGGACTTCCTGGCTCTACCTACTACACCAGGATGCTAATAATTAACAATAATAATAATAACTTTAAAGTTTACAAAGTACTTTACAGATATTATCTTATTTGATCAAGACTCATGATTGACTAAGTGACTTTAAAAGTAACATCTTTAAGTGACATCTGACTTCAAATTTTTTTTGCAATATTTATTTTTAGTATTTTGTGGGTGTTGCTCTTTTTTCCCTTTTTTTGTTTTTATTTTTCAAGTAACAAATATTTTAAATTAATCTGGCCCTCTCTCGAACCTCCCACCCCACCCCCCATATACACATTGACTACATTAAAAAAAAAAGAAATAAACTCCCCAAACAAATCTTTCAATACATATCTTACTAGTTTTGTTTTGTTTTGTTTTAGGCAATTGGGGTTAAGTGACTTGCCCAGGGTCACACAGCTAGTAAGTGTCAAGTGTTTGGTCTGAGGCTGGATTTGAACTCAGGTCCTCCTGACTTCAGAGCCAGTGCTCTATCCACTGTACCACTTAGTTGCCCCCATATCTTACTAGTTTGGCAAAACAAATTCCCATATTAGCCATATCTAAGAGAGAAATTTTGCAAAGCCTCACCAAAAGGCCATCCCCTCCCCCAAGCAGGTTCCCACCCCTACACTAAACCTTTACTCCTGTCCCTTCTCCCATCAAAATTTTCCAGTCCTGTCCCCAGTTCCTCAGCTATCTGTCTCTGGGAAAGGGGATGGTAAGCTAATTCACACTGAAATGTGAATAACTAATTATTGGGTAAGATTCTACCTGTTCCCCAGGACGTGTCTGGAGGACTGGAGTGTCCTACAGAGGCAATGGCCTAACCCCAAATGACTCTAATGGTGCAATTCCAGGTACTGAAGATACCCAGTGCCCTTCTAACCCTATTCATATGCAATAAACTATGTGCGAAGCCAACCCTGTCCTATCTCTCTCTCGTTCCTTGGAATATGTATTGTACTTGGTCTGACAAACTGGACTCAAATGAGTGTCCCAATCTGCCATTTTACTTTTATTAGAGAACGTGACTGTGTGATATATGTTAGTCATCTCCCCACATGGACTGTGAGGCTTTGGAGGACAGGGGCTGGTTCTCTTTAATTGTTGTTTCCCCCAGAGCCTAGCCCAGGGATGGACTCACTAAAAACTGGGTGGTAAACTCTGGAGACAGCAGTCTTATAAGCTTATGAAGGTACATAGGAGCCAGATTGGAAAGGCTGTCTTTTATCCTAGGGGTAATAGGGAACCCTAAAGATGTTGGAGTATAAGATATGGTTAGACTTGTGCTTTAGGGAGCCTTTTTGGTAGTTGTGTGGCCTATGGATTAAAGGGCAGAGGCTGAAGGCAGGGAGACCAATTAGGAGGCTGTTGTGATGGCCCAGGCAAGGGGTGAGTAAAATCTGAGCTAAAGCATCAGCCATGTGAGTAGAGAGAAGGGGATAGATATGAGAGAGATGTTGTGGAGGTAGAAACAAGACTAGGTGGGCATAGTAACATCTGCCTGTAATCCCAGTTGGAGGGGAGGTTGAGGCTGGTGGGTGTTCTGAGATGCAGAAGGCTACAATGATCTGGTATCTGCTCTAAGTTTGGCATTAATGTGAATCTCAGGGAGCAGGGGTGAGGGGTGGGGTGGGTGGAACCTAAGGACAGCTAGGTGGTGCAATGGATAGTGTGGGACTCAGGAATCAGAAAGACTGAAATTCAAACCCTCAGACACTTCAGAGCTGCATGACCTGTGCTTCAGTTCTTCGTCATAAAATGGGGATAATAATAGCATCTAAGTCACAGGACTGTTGTGAGGATCAAATGAAGTAACATACGTAGAGAGCTTTGCAAACCTTGAGATGCTATATAAATACTAGCTCTTCAGGAGAGGCAAACTGACCCGTTGGAAACTGAAAAGGGTCAGTGCTCCCATGCTCATTAGTGGTGGGACTAGGCCTGTGAGTAGCCCCTATATTTCCAGTCTGGGTGAGATGGGGATATCCAATCTTTTAAAAAATATCAACAAGACTTTGGTAACTGGCTGGATAAGAAAGAGATGGACAAGACGGGAAAGAAATGGGTGACTTCAAAGTTGTAAACTTGGATGACTGAGGGATGGTGGTGCCCTCAACAGAAATAACGATGTTCCTTAGTTTTAAAGAGCTTCATTAGAAATAGGGATTGGCAAGACATTGGCACGTAATAGGCAGTGAGTGAGTAGGAATTCATTATGATATTTATGGCAAGAAAGAAAAATGTAAGCTAAGGAGGATAATGGAATTGAGTTGAATTTATTCTAGTGCTTTGAGTGAGGTAGTCCATTCAACATCTGAGGCATGTAAATGTCTAGAAGTTGTATGCATATGAAATTATGTCAGGGAACATCTATTCACAATGGGTTACTTCTAGCTGTTGTCTAGAGGAAACCCATTGCTGGTACCTGGTAGGCAGACACAGTCCTGATTAGATAAATTGTCAACTGGATTATACTCCCCAACCCTAACTTTCTGGTCTTTCCATTGCACATCAAGCAAGGCCCTTCTTTTGGCCAAAAGTGAAACCTTTTACAGGATAAGACGACACAGGCAAAGAATCTTATAGTAAATCTAGAAGTGTTTGTTTCTCTTCCCCTCAGCCACAAAGACAGCACACATGCACTTTGGTTCCTCTGTTCCAAGGGGTAATTAACTCCCAATAGTTGAAAGACCACTCACCGGCAACTGATTGATTCACTCCAGGCCAGCAGAATGGGATGAAACAACCTTCTATCTACTGACCCAGAATATGGACTGAATCTGATAGAATGGAAGCTCCTTGAGGGTAGGGACTGCTTCATTTTTCTCTGTACATTTCCAGTGCTAAGTACAAAGTCGAGAACATTTGAAAACAATGGTTCAGTCATTTTCAATCATGTCGGACTCTTCGTGACCCCATTTGGGGTTTTCCTGGCAGAGATGCTGGAGTGGTTTGCCATTTCCTTCTCCAGCTCATTTGATAGATGAGGAAATTGAGGCAAACAGGGTGAAGTGACTTGCCCAGGGTCACACAGCTAGTACGTGAGGCCAGATTTGAACTTGGGGAAGATAAGATGAGTCTTCCCAACTCCACTGAAAACGCCTAGCTGCCCCCACTGAGAATGTAAAAGGTGCTTAATAAACACTCTTGATTAGCTGATGGGTGAATTTAGAACACGTACCATTTTAAAAGGGAAATCAGTATTTGGGGCAGAAACATCAGCCAGTTGAGGAAACAGTGAGATCCTGAAATAGTAAAACCTTTATTTCCATAAATCATTAACAAATAACATCGTGGTCTTGAGCACAAGCTTATCAGTTTCCAGAAAAATAGGTAATGCTAAAACAACAATGGTCAAAGAAAGCAGCCGCAAAGCAGATCTGACTATGCATTAGGCCAGGCTAGTTTTCCACCAATCTCTTGAGCACTGAGCCAAGGCTGCCTTTTGCCACCTGCAAAGGAGTCTTCTTTTCTTTGTTCTCAATGTAGATACTTGCTCCTCGGACCACCAGTAGTTTTGCTTCTTCAATCCTTTCCTCATCACAAGCTAAATGCCTGCATTTGGAAATCACAACGATCACTGGTTAGCACTGACCTGGCTCGGTGCATTGTGCACACTATTGGACTGTGGCGCTCCTGGAAAGGCCATTCCCAAACTGAGAACCTCCTCTGACAGTGTCTTCAAAGCCTAGTACTGCTGCTTTAGAGCTCCTGGTCCAAAGCTCCTCCCATCTTGTGTTATTTCTACAGGGCTTGGAGACCAGGGAAGTGACTTGCCTCCAATCCCCCAGAGATCAGATTTGGAACATCCAGGGGCTCTAAGTCATCCTTTCACATTTATTTGAACCTCTTGTGTTTTTTATTTTTTATTTTTATTTATTTTTTTGTTTTGTTTTTAGGCAATTGGGGTTAAGTGACTTGCCCAGGGTCACACAGCTAGTATGTGTTAAGTGTTTTGGTCTGAGGCTGGATTTGAACTCAGGTCCTCCTGACTTCAGGGCCAGTGCTCTATCCACTGCACCACCTAGCTGCCCCCTGAACCTCTTATGTTCACAAGACCATTTTCACTCTGGAGAGCACATTCACAAGTAGCATCTTGTTGGATACTTGCAATAACCCTACGAGATTGGCTGAAACTTTCAAAGAGTAAGAAGTGCTCAAAAGGGACTGGAGGACGGGGAGGGAGAGGTAGTGCTCAAGAACGAAATTCTGCCAATCTAATTATGAATGCTCACTGGTGGGGAGGCATCTAAAGACAATGACACAACTTCACAGAGAACTGAGGTCAAATTTTCAATTGGCACAGTCAGAAGATCAAAACAAGGGGATACTAAGCCAAGGACAAAAACGGAAAATAGTCTACACAAAAGAATAATATGGACCTGGAAGAAAAGTGTTAGAAAAATGAAAGGCCAGGTAAGATGAGGCTTGTCCCTAATCTCAAACAAATAAAGATAACCAATGGTAGGGACAGGATAGTAGAAGGAGCTTTTAAGATATACTTTGCTAGGTTAGGGCTTGGACCTATGACTTCTTGGGTATAGGGAACTCCCAGGGAAGGAAACTCCTTGTACCAAGGTAGTTTGGCACCTTCTCTACAACTTAAGAGTTTTAAAGAGAGTTGCCTGGGGCACTGAAAAGGAGGGTAAGTGATCTGTCTTACCTGGACAAAGGCAGGAATTAAAAGCTAGGTCTGCTTGTCTTGGAGGCCAGCTCCCTGGCCACTAGGTCATACTGCCTTTCCTAGACTTGGAAGAAAAAGGGACATGGCCCCTGGTTGGGGCAGATGGTATAATTGTTACAAATGGGAGAGTGGAACTACTCCAATATCGTTCTGTTTCCATCTCCCCTATCAAGGAGACTCATGGGCATACTAGAAAGGGTAGAACAAATATCATGCAGAAGAAACTGAAAGCCTATACAGGTGAGAAGATTAGGACACCGAGCTCGGTTACTCTAAATGAATTCAACTCTACCGGTCCACATGGTCCACAGGAATTACATCTCAAAGCAGCGAAAGAACCTGAAGAAAATCAGTGATGCACGGTTAGTGGGGTTTTTTTGGTTTTCTTTTTGAGATCAGGACTCCCCATTTTGTCCAGGCTGGAAGCACAGGCCTGATCCCAATGTTGATCAGCACACAAGCTTTGGTTCTGTTTTTCCAACCTGGGCTGATTTACTCCTCCCTTAGTCAGACTGGGGCCCTCTACTCCCCCAGCCTCATCACATTGGTACCAGATATAGGACAGACGCCCAACTGGCTTTAGCTCAAATGCAGCTCAGAAGTCCCAAGCTCAACCAATCCCAAATCCTCAGCCTCACCAGCAACAGGGACTACAAGTATATATCACTATGCCTGGTGACCACTATTACTAATCTCTGAAGAACGGGAGATGGGCAGCATATCATAGCAGATAGGGCAGTAGACCTGAAGTCAGGAAGACCTGGTTTGTATTCCACCTTAGATAACTTACTAGTAATGACCATGGGCAAGTTACTTCACATTTTTGGACATCAGTTTCTTCTATAAAATAAGGGGATCAGACCTCTGGGGTCCCTTCTGGCTCTAAGTCTATGATTCTATGTGTGAATTGGGACAATTCATTTCCCCTCCCTATGCCTCAGTTTCCTCTTTTGTAAAATGTGGGAGTTTGGACTGGATGACCTCTAGGATTTCCCCCTTCCAGCTCTATGTATATGATTCTATTATCTTCAAAAAGAGGAAGAAAATAGACATGGCAAATTAGAACGGTGAGCTTGACATTCATCCCTGTCAAAATTTAAAATACACCACTAGTCCATGAGTGCTTATAAAGAGAAACAGAGACACACATTGCTATGGCTGCCATGTGCTGAGAGAGGCTTTGGAAGCCAGGAAAGACACGGCAGGAGGGGCAGCATGAGTGCGACTGAAAACCTGGGATTCCCAGCTGGGGAGCGGCAAGAGGAGGGAAGGGGAGCTGTGGCTGCCATGGTAATAATAATAATGAGAGCTAGCATTTTATAGCTTTTAAAGCTTTGCAAAGTTGGCAGTTTTGACAGGCTCAGAGGCTTGGATAGGGGCATAGATCAAGAGTTGCAGAGGGTGGGCGGGTAAGCGGAGAGGTGCACCCAGAGGGCCTCATATGAAAGCAGTGGCAACAGCTGCTGTGGCTGGAAACAGTCTTATCTTGCCTTGGTTTGGAGTTGCCGAGGGGTGGCAAGATGTTCCTAGCTGCAGCTGAGGGACCCTATTCCCTGGATCAGAGGAGCAAGAGGAGAAGTGGGGCACTAAACATCTTATCTTCTTACTCACTGCCTCAACTGTTATTCACCCTCAAAACCAAAACGGAGGTGAGCAGGACTTCATTCTACTGGGCAGGTACTCCTCAAGGGCCCGCTGGGCCTTGGTCATTGTCATCACTTTATTCAAAGCCACTGAATAAAACACTGGCTTTATTATTCCTGGGAAGGGTCCAGCTGAGTGACAGGAGCAACACTGTGGAACTGGGTTTCTGTGCGTCTCCTATTGGTAGCAAGTTCAGTTAAATATGGAGTTTGGAGGCACTGGCATGAAGAGGTCAAAACTACTTGGGGATGCTGACATGGTACATACTTGAGAAATGTCTGCAAAAGACATCACATTCTGGGATGACGGGCACGCCACTGAGACAGAAATGATCACCAGAGGAGCACCATGGTTACTGTGGCCGGGTTGGGTCCTAAGGGATGCCCTACTATCAAGCCCTGGCTGATGTGTGGGTTAGTTTTGCTTAATTTTTTTCCTATTCATTTTTTTAAAAAAATTCTGTTCCAAGGAAGGCTCCCTGAGCAGGAGAGGGAGAAAGGATGGATTTAGAAATGAAGGAGAAGTAAAAACAAATGTTATCAATACAAAATTTAAAAAGAAAAAAAAAGAGAAATCTACATAAGGTGATGAAAGACATGAGCTATTTAACAATGTGTTTTCAAGTAGGAGCTGCTAAAGTCTTTCTCTGGTTCTTGACTTGACTTTTTGAAACCAACAACCCATTTTTGCTGTCTAGTACTAAAATGCAGAAAAAAAGGCATGTCCAATTAACCTAATTTTCTTCTTTGACAGGGATACTAGGCAGATCAAAGGATCTTAGATTTAGAAAAGGATGGACTCTCAGAGACTCTCATTTTACAGAGGAGGAAACTGAGGCCCAGGGAAGGGAAAGGACTGCCCAGGGTCAAACATGGAATGCTACATCTAGAGCTGGAAGGACCCTCAGAGATTGAGTCCAAACCCTTCGTTTTACAGAGGAGGAAATTGAGACCCAGGGAGGGGGAGGGACTGGCCCAGCCTCATACAGGTAGATAATGGCAGAGGAAGAATTTGAACCCCGGCTCTCTGACTCCAAAGCCAGCATCTTCCCATTGTACCACACTGCTTCCCCTAGCAGGTGGCCACCGCTCTGGATTTCAGGAAGGTGTCTGATAAAGAGTCTCATAATTCCTTTATGGACACAAAAGAAACGAGGGCTGACAGCAGTATAGGGAGATGGGTTCTAAACAGGCGGAACAGCCATAGCCAGTGCATGAGAGTGAGTGAGAGAGTAATGGAGCAGAGGTCTCGAGGGGCCTCCCACAGGCCAATGAATGTCTCTGCCTCGTCCTGTGCAACAGTTTTATCAATGACACAATGAGGAAGTTGGCATGTTAATCACTTTTTGGTAATAACGCCAAGTTGGGAGAGAAAGTTCAGAGCTAGATGACAGAATCAGGATTCCAAACGACTTTGTGAGGCTGAAACAATATAAAAGAGCAAACAAGACGAAGTTTAAAAGGAGTAAATATGAAGGTCTGTACTTTGGTTCTAAAGTCAACTACAGAAGTATAGGATGGGGACTGAGATGTCAACAGCAGCTTATGTGAAGATGGGTGACTTGGAGTATCACTTCACAGAAGTGCACACTGGGATATGACTGCCACCACCCCCACAAGTGAATTCGATCTTAGGTTGTAAGGAGAGTAATTCACATTTCTAGAGTGCTTGAGAGTCTGCCAACTTCGTTCTGTACAACAACTCTGTCACGTAGAGAACACAGATCTTATTTCCCTTCTGCTCCTCCATGAGGGCCACTGAGGCTCAGAAAGATTCTCTGGCTTGTACAGAATCATGTGGCTAATAAGTGGTAGAACAAGGACTTGGGCCAGGACTGAGAAGCAAAAGCCTGGGATACCTTATTACTGGCCTGTGCTGCTTCCCCATGTTTAATCTTAGTAATAAGAATGCCCCATAAGAACGACTAGAAGAATAGTAAACAAAACAAGAGAGGGCTTACTACTGTTGGATTCTGGCCTAGTCAGCTCACACCAGGAGGTGCGCTGGTCACTGGAGGTATCAGCATCTTGTGGGGCACATGGAGGAACAAGAGCACTGTCCACGGGAGTGATGAAGATGGTGCAGAGAACAGAAACCTGACAGTGCAAGCTCCAAAGGGTGAGGACTGGCTCATTCCTTGTATCTCTTTCCTGGTGCTTCAAAAATGCTTAGAGAATGACTGATGGTGCGGGGAACCTGAAACCACCTCATAGAAGTTACAGTTAAAGCAAGGAAAGAAGCATTTATTAAGCACCTACTGTATACAAGGCACTGTGCTAAGTGCTTTACAAATATCTCATTTTATTCTCACAACAACCCTGTGTGGAAAGTACTATTATGATCCTCATTTAACAGATGAGGAAACCGAGGCAGATAGCGGTGACGTGACCTGCCCAGGATCACACAGATGGTAAGTATCTGAAGCTGGATTTGAATTTAGGTCTTCATGACTCCACGGCCAGTGCTCCCTCCACTGCAGTGCCACTGAACTGTCTCTAAAGCAACAGGGAATGTTTATCAATCAATGAGTGTTTATTAAATACCTATTATGTGTGCCAGGCTCTGGGGAAGCCAAATCAAATGAATGAAGCCATCTCTACTCCCAAAGAGCTTGCAAATTCTAAAGGAGGAGACAATAAGTATATGTAGACTAAACAGAAAGTGAATAACTACCAAGTGGTTCCACATAAAGTGGTTTGGGAGGAGGGGCAGGAGCATGTGGGAGAGAGAAGAAGAGGCAGCATGGAGAAGGTGGTGCTTGAGCCATGTATTGAAGAGAGAAATTCGATGAGGCAGAGAAGAGGGGGTGCACTCCGGGTCTGGGGGACAGCTAGTGCAAAGGCATGGCGATGAGCGCCAGAATGAGGAACAGAGAGAGGCCTACTCTGGCTGGATCTCAAAGTTGGGGAGTGGCTGGGGCCAAGGCTGCACCGAACAGGAAAGTTTACATTTTATCCTAGAGGTGATAGGGAATTATTGCAGTCGAGTAGGGGAATGGCCCAAATGGTGGCCATGTGGAGGGGGACTGTCTGGGGAGACTTGAGGCAAGGAGACCAATTAGGAGGCTGGTGCAATAACCTAGGTGAGAGGTGATGAGGGTGTGTGAACAAAGAGAAGGAGTTGGATGTGAGAGATGCTGCGGGGATAAAAACAGCAAGATTTGGCAATCTAGTTGTTAGAGTGAGGTGAGGGAGTGAGTGGTCAAGGACAGTGCAAGGTTATGAACCTGGGAGACTCAACAGATGGCGGTGACTGGAAGAAATAGGGCAGTTTGGAAGAGGTGAGAGTCTAGGGGAAAGACCAGTTTTGGACGTGCTGAGTTTGAGATGGATTCGATAGCAGAGGTCCCTTCCAACTCTGAGATCCTGTGACTCACTGTGTGGGTTCCAGAGAACAGAACGAGGAACAGGAGGAAGTTCCAGGGGAGCAGATTTTGGCTGAACCTAAGGAAGGCCTTTCTCACAATTAGAGCTGCCCAGTGTGGCAGACAGTTCCACATTAGCTATGGGATGCCATAATGGGTAGGAGGTTGGATGAGATGACTTCTGTGGTCCCTTCCTATTTGTAGTATTACCATCATTTTACGGATGAAGAAATTGGGGCACAGGGAGTTATATTATTTGCCTGAGGTCCCAGTTGATTAGTGAAAGAGCTGGGACTGAAACGTGCATGGCTCTGAGACCTCTCTAAGAAGAATGAGGTATTTCATCTGAACCAGCTACATAAGATCAAAAAAAGATGACAGGAATAGGGATTTTGATGCATAATATTTAAAGCACAACAAAATGAGATTTAAGCCGAGGACTCTCAGTATTTCTGGTTTGAAAAATGGTGTATGAGAATAATGCTTAAGTTTTAGAAATGAATGTTAGAAATTGTTTCTGCATGCAACTGGGAAATAAGATATACAGGCAATGGGGTATAGAAATCCATCTCACGCTACAGGAAAACAGAAGGGAAAGGGGATAAAAGAAGCGAAGGGGTAATAGAAGGGAGAATGGATTAGGTGAAGGGGGAATCAGAACACAGGCTGTCATGGGATGGGGGCGGGGAGGGATGGGGAGAAAATTTGGAACTCAAAATCTTGTGGAAGTTAATACTGAAAACTAAAAATAAATAAATAAACAGGAAAAAAAAATAATGCCTAAAGATAAGAGAGCTGATGGAATTCCTCTGCTTTCCAGGCCCAATGCCATGCAAACTCAAAAGTCAACATGAGTTAAAAGCACAACTTAGCAGCTGGAACTAAGAGGATCTTGAGCTTAGGAGTGTTCAGACCACATTGCAGGTACTGTGTTCAGTTCTGCGTAAATTTTAGAAAAGACTGAAGGATATCCAGAAGAGGGCAAGCATATGGAGATGCAATCAGTGGATCCTAGCTGGCAGGGCCCTCAGAAGCCATTTAGTCTGAGCTCCTCATTATAGAGAAGAAACTGAAGCCCAGGAGGGGACGTGACTTAGCCCATGTCCCCCAGGTAGGGAATGCCAGAGGTGGTATGTGAACTTGAGACTGTTCTTCCAATTGTACCACACTGCCTCCTTGAGGTCAGAACACTTAAGGATCAACTGAAGGGACTGAGAATGTTTGGCCACCAGGAGATTTCATGGGGACAGGACAGTTGCCTTTAACTATTTAAAGGGTCATCATATGGAAAAGAGATTAAGACTTGTCCTTCTTGGCTGCAGAACAAGGAAGAAGGGCTGGGAGTTTCAAACAGGCAAATTTAGGTCTGATCAAAGGAAAAATGTCCTAACACCTGCAGCTGTTGTTCTAAAGGTAGAAGGAACTGCCTGAAAAGGTGGTGGTTTCTCCCTCCCTGAAGGTCTTCAGGAAAAGGCCGGGTGACTTGTGGGGAACAGCATAGAGGGGCTTCCTGTTCAGGGAAGGGCTGGACCAGATGACCTTGGTGTCCCTTCCAATTCTGTGAAATGAAAAGGACCATGACTTCATACTTACAAAGCAGTGTTCCCCTGAGAGTCTTGGATGTTTGTGGAGGCCTTATACTGCAGAAGGACTTGGATCATCTTCAGATTTCCCTTGGCCGAGGCCCGGTGCAATGGAGTGGACTCCAAATGGTCAGTAGCATCTGGATTAGCACCTCCTTCTAATAACATGATAGCAATCTGAAGAAATGAGGGGAAAAGAGTGGATGGGACAGTTTGGGATCATTTCGAGCTAGTGCTTAGCACCAGAAGAAATGCTTTCTGTAGTCATTCATCTAGTCAAAGCCAGAGGCCCGAGACTCCCGTGCGCACCTCATGCTTATTTTTGGATGCTGCATAATGCAGTGGAGTACACCCATTCTGATTGATAGCATTCACTTGAGCGCCTTTTCCCAGAAGAGCCTTCACAATCTCATCTCGGCCAGCAGAGGCAGCAATATGAAGAGGGGACCAACCTGCCTAGAGGAGAGATGAGAAAGAGGGAAATGGGGGAGAAAAGACCACATATATTGGTCAGTGCAAAAAAAAAATGCAGGTAGGAAGAGCTCCCATATCTAGCCAACCTCAACCACATTTTTTTACCTAGGTCATTACCCCTATGCCACGTCCTCCTCTTGCTCAGGGAATTAATTATCATTGCTTTCGTAAGAGACTTGTCAATAACTCCTCAGCTGCTCCAGGCACCATCCCCAGGGGTCTCCAGGCTAAAAACATCCCTTCCCAGCCACCAGCCACCTGTATGGGTGGTCTCTCTCCTTATGATAGGAGCTCTGTAAAGGCAGGGAAGGGCTCTTGCTTTTGTATTCATTTCCCAGGCTTATAAGTAAGTGCTTAACAAATGCTTTTGGTTCAGTCATGAATTTTCAACATATCTTATTATTCTTATACTTTCCAACATCCCTCAAGTAGAGTTACAGGCCAAATATCATTATAACCTAGAAGAACTCTCATTTTTCATGACCTGCACTACTACTATCATTAATCAGCTCCAGGAAAACAGGACATGAAGTGAAACCACATTCTAGGTTACAGGGAGAAGTTAGTTTCATAGAAACAATATAAATGGGTACCCAGCAGAACGGCCTCATGGGGGAGTCATGGCTTTTAGACAGGATTTGGTCATAATGTGCTAATAATGTTACTGAGAAACAAATTATGCTGGGTAACCTGTACAGTGCTGCTGTTGCTTAGCCATTTCAGTCATGGCCGACTCTTTGTTACCTCATTTGGGGTTTTAAGCCTCGGCAAAGATGCTGGAGTGGTTCTGTCATTTCCTTCTCCAGCTCATTTTACAGATGAGGAAACTAAGGCCAACAGGGTGAAGTGACTTGCCCAAGGTCACACAGTTAGTCAGTGTCTGAGGCCAGATTTGGACCCTGTATGGTAGTACCACAAAGCAACAGTGTATATACACACACTCACTCTCAAATAACTCTCAAAATAATTCAGTCATTTCAATTGTCTCTGACTCTGTGACCTCATTTTTGGGTTTTCTTGGCAGAAACCGGAGTGGTTTGCCATTTCCTTCTCCAGCTCATTTTACAGATTAGGAACTGAGGCAAACAGGGTTAAGGGACTTGCCCAGCTAGGAAGTGTCTGAGGCCAGATTTGAACTCATCAAGATGAGTCTTCCTGAATCCAAGCCCAGTGTTCTCTTCATTGCACCACCCAGATGCCCCAACACTGTAACATTTGTTTGTTTGTTTTGAAAGGACTAGGATTTTCTAAATTCTCTTTGGAATATTGTTGTTTCTTTTTTTTTAAAATAAATATTTTATTGGGGCAGCTAGGTGGTGCAGTGGATAGAGCACCGGCCATGGAGTCAGGAGGACCTGAGTGCAAATCCATCCTTAGACACTTACTAGCTGTGTGACCCTGCGCAACTCATATGACCCCAACTGCCCTGCCCCTGCAAATTTATTTCCTCCCCAATTAGATGTAGAGAATTTTTAACATTCATTTAAAAAAAATTTTGAGTTCCAAATTTTCTCCCTCCATCCCTGACTTGCTCCCAACACGGTAAGCAATTTCATATAGGTTATACATGTACAATCATGTAAAACATATTTCCATATTAATCATATTGTGAAAGAAGACACAGACAAAAAAACCCACGAAAGAAATACAGTGAAAAATAGTATGCTTCAATCTGCATTCAGACACCATTTGCTCTTTCACTGGAGGTAGACAGTATTTTTCATCTTGAGTCCTTTGGAACTTGCCTGTATTGCTGAGCATGGCCAAATCATTCATAATTGATCATCGTACAATATTAATGTTACTGTGTACAATGTCCTCTGGGTTCTGCTCACTCCACTCACAGCATCAGTTCAGGTAAGTCCTTCCAGGTTTTTCAGGAATCAGGCTGCTTGGCATTTCTTATCATATGATAGGATTACATTATAATCATATACCACAACTTGTTCAGCCATTCCCCAATTGATGGGTATCCCCTCAACTTCCAATTTTTTGCCAATACAAAAAGAGCTGATATAAATATTTTTTGTACAAATATGTCCTTTCCCTTTTTTTTTTTAAAATCTCTTTGGGATACAGACCTAACAGTGGTATTGCTGGATAAAAGGGTATGCAGTTTTATAGCCCTTTGGGCACAGTTCCAAATTGCTCTCCAGAATGGTTGAATCAGTTCACAACCCCACCAACAGTGCAGTAGTGTGCCAATTTTCCCACATCTTCTCCAACATTTATCACTTTCCTTTTTCTGTCATATTAGCCAATCTGATCGGTATGAGGTGGTACCTCGGAATTGTTTTAATTTACATTTCTCTAATCAATAATGATTTCAAGCATTTTTATATGACTATAGATAGCTTTGATTTCTTCATCTGAAAATTGCCTGTTCATATCTTTTAACAATTTATCAATTGGGGAATGACTTGCATTATAAATTGGACTCAGTCCTTCATATATTTGAGAAATTAGGCCTTTATCAGAGCCACTTGCTATAAAAATTGTTTCCCAGCTTTCTGCTTCCCTTCTAATTTTGGTTTGGCTTTGTGTAAAAACTTTTACATTTAATATAATTAAAATTATCCATTTTATATCTAGTAATGTTCTCTCTTCTCTGGTCATAAATTCTTCCCTTTTCCATAGATCTGACAGGTAAACTATTCTTGCTCTCCTAATTTGCTTACGGTATCACCCTTTATGTTTAAATCATGAACCCATTTTGACCTTATCTCGGTATATGGTGTGAGACGCTGGTTTATACCTAGTTTCCGCCATACTGTTTTCCACTTTTCCTAGAAGTTTTTGTCAAATAGTGAACTCTTGTCTAATACTTTTAAAGTTCCCAGAGCTCTTTACAATATTATCTCATCAGACCCTCACGTTGCCCTTGGGTGGTAGGTGTTATAATTATCACCCCCATAGGGGCAGCTAGGTGGCGCAGTGGATAGAGCACTGGCCCTGGAGTCAGGAGGACCCGAGTTCAAATCTGGTCCTAGACACATAACACTTACTAGCTGTGTTACTCATGGCAAGTCACTTAATCTCAATTGCCTCACCAAAAAAAAAAAAATTACTCCCCCCCCCACACACACTTTATAGTTGAGGGGAATTCAGGTAGACAGAAGGTTAAATGATTTGCCTAGGGTCACATAGCTAGTTAAGTGGTTGAGGTCAGATTTGAATGTGTGCATGTGTGTGTGTGTGTACATACACACACACATCTCTGAGCTCTTCTGCAACACAAAATTTCCATAAATATGCAAAACTCTCAAGTGAACATTCCTTTGAAGTACTGAGTATAGTCCTTTTCATTTCATAGAACTGGAAGAGACACAAACCCTTTGAGTTCTGTGGATGTTAGAGAAAGTATGGCTAGTGAAAGGGGAACTAACTGGATTTAATTTTAGAGTACTTTGGTTTGAATCCAGATTCTTCTACCTTCTACCTGTGTGACCTTGAGCAATCCACTTGACCTCTGTGGCCTCGGTTTCCTTTTCTGTAAAAGGGTAGTGTTCATGGGCTAGTATTTAAATTGTCTTTTAGTTCTAGTGGCTCAGCAGTAAAATAACCTGTCCACAGTCATGCAAGTAATAAGCAGCAGAATCAAGAGGAAAAGTTGGAATTCTCAGTTCGTGCAGGGCTCTTTCCCCAATACCAATGCTGTTACAACAAAATCTCTGTGGGACAAAAACCCAGCCATGCCGAACTTATTTTGAGGTACCTGAGGGAACAAAATTCTAGTTTAACAAATGATCTTGATTGTCCTCTGATGTCCATCTATATTTGCATGTGGGACTTCATGTGGGTACTCTCTCCAATGGTATAGCCTGTGACTTGTGTACACCTTCAGATCTGTGCAACTCTTGTCCATGTCCTCTCAAAAATCTTCCACGGGGAGATTCTACAATGTGCTTCCTCCAGATTTATTGCCATCACAGAGATCCCAATGCGGCACATGGATTGGCAATTGTCCCCCACTTTTAGCACATGACCAGCCCGCTTCTTTCTCTGTTCATCCATTTCTCTGACAATGGTTTGACTGCACAGATCCTCGCTGGTAATATGCTGCAGCTTATTTATGCCCATCATGGGCCTCTCCATTGTTCACTGGGTAAAATGAATTCTTTGCAAACCATGATATTTCATGATTTGGAGCCATAATAGTATCATTACTAGAATATTAGTGTTAAAAGACTGCCTTTGTTTCAGGAAGAAGCACAGCATCATTAAAAAGCAGTGTGCACTTTCCCAAAGGCAATCCTACCCATTCCCTTCTGATTTGCTTTGCTTATACACCTAAATTTCTCCCTGTATCCCTCTTGCCTCCCCTTATGATAAAGGATTTTTTTTAAAGAAAAAAGAAAAAAATCCAGCAAAATCAATCAATACATTTTAAAACAATTGACAATTTAGGTGATGTTCTACAGTGTGGCTAAGCATTGGGGATACAAAGTAAGGCCAAAAAAACCCAAAACCCCAAAACAAAACAAAACCACCCAGTCCCTAGTCTCAAGGAGCTCCCAAACTAATGTGGGAGATAACATGCAAACAACTATGTACAAACAAATTATATTTAATAAGGGACCATGGAAACACAGATTAAAAATTATTTGGAGCCTAAATAACCTAATCTTAAAGAATGATTAAGTTAAAGAGCAAGTCATAGAAACAATAAACAATTTATGGCCAGGAACTGGAGATAATCAACAGAGGGAAGGCACTAAGATTAAGGATTGGGAAAGGCAGAAGGTAGGATTTTAGTAGACACCAGAAGAACAAAAGGATTCTGGGAAGACAGTGGAATAAGTCAAGACATTACCTGTCTTTCCCAAATTCTCCCACAAACAATTTAAAATAATGCCTCAAAATGAACTTTAAAGCAAGGTAGAAATAATTAAAAAGTTGGGCTAATGCAGTTGTCCAGCCTAAGACAACTTGGGAGAACATTATGAAAGACCAGACAGACCTTTTGGGTATGGTCTAGCCTG